ACGAAACTGACTTCGAAGACGTATATTTGCCATGCGAATATTTGGAACAGATTGATGCAGTAATGTTTTAGACAAAACAAGTAAAACATAAACGATGTAAAGATAATTTTAAATAAAAAATACATGTACAGTTAATATAACAGAGTAGTCCATTATTTTATTGTGCCAGCCATTTTGCGGAAGCAATGGCAACAATTACCATGTTGTTTTGATCTGTTCAAGTTAGAAGTGGTGAATAAAAGTTTCGGTCACCATTTACCACCCCAAATTTTCAGCAACGGATTTTTGTCAAAAGTTTACTTATAACTATTTATTCATGATCCGCACGTTGCATGTTCGATGTATCTATATTGATTTACTCATAACTTTGCCTATTTAGATTTTTAATAATAACTGGCTTGTTGCAACTACGTACTCATTATATTTATAAATAAACCCACGGCAACATAGCACAGCACGTAGTATGAATACATCACGCTCGTAACGTACAGGTTGTGAATGAATGAATACATTGTATAGAAAGGTCGCACTTGTAACATATTAGTACAATATAGCAAGAAAGCATGAGCTCAATTCAGAGAGAACCTTACAATGCCGTAACGCCATTTACAGAAATTGTGCTTTACAGTCAACCACGAGCGAAAAAAAACACAGAAAATGGCTTTCAAAAGAGTGCGTAGGCCCAGTGAACGTCGAACAACGGGATTCAGCAAGTCCTTTCAAATCAGATAATAGCGTAATGCATGATGTTAGCTTACGGAATTAACGCCTTCAGTTGAAATGATAACAGCTGTGTACCAAGTAAACAACTGGGCGGACCATGCAAATTACATTTCCCATGATGCACTGGTGCAATTCCTGGGATTGCGGAGCCGCGCTTTAACAGAATGAGAAAACAAATTCTGTGACTTACTTTGTCGCAAGTTAATATTGATGTATAAATCAACAGGACTGTTCTATGATCACAGACCCGGAACTGTAATGCAGTCATCCCGGTCTGTACTGGAATGTAATCAAGAATGCTGACCCACACAAACAATTCCGGGGGGGGGGGATAGTCCTGAATACACATGTACACCGGAAAACAAAATTTGGGCAAAACCAGGGGCCACTGTACATCTTGTATTCAATCCCCAGGAAGCAGGTATTGTATGGGGAATGTTTACAATCACCACAAAGTTTTTGTAAATTTCCATAAAAGCACATTTGCAGAAAAGAACATAGAAATCAAAGTGACACATGTTATTGTTAAGAACCGGAGGTCATGGTTGACGCAGGGACTCGACAGAGAGGGTTCAGTTCGAAATGTGGTTCATACAAAATGAGGAGAACCTTACCGATTGCTCAACGACAGGTCCGACATTTGGCCGCCTAAGTGGCGTTTGAATACTTTCCGACGTATTTCTAAAACCACGTCCACGTCCAATTACACGAAGACTCGCGACTGGTGACCCAGTAGCTGTATCAGCAGACATCTTGAATTTCCCTCTTGACGCTTTAACTCTTCCGGAGAGACCCGAAGAATTTAAAGCTGTTAATCAATGAATTTATAATTCATTTACACTTCATTGTTAACGAAACAGTCATAAGTAGCGAGTGGCTAAACATAAAAGCTTGACACTTTGTTATAATTTATTAAAAACAAGCATTTCCGAAATTTACCGATTATCACGGAAGTACAGCAGGCGCATGCGTGCGACGTGGTAACTAAATATGGCGGAGTCGCAGTGAAAACATCGCTCGTCGAAATCATTTTTTGTGTGAAAACGTAAGAGAATTTGGTAGGTTGTCAATTTATTTTGCACAATGTTCATTGGTGAATAATTACGACATAAGAGGTTTTTGTAAATAGTGTATCTTGATTATTTCACGTCGATATTTCAAAATCATGGCATTTTTGTGCACAGATGATCAATCATGACATAGGCATCACATTATGATAGTGTTGGATAAATCACCACCACCATCATAATTTCAGTGTATTTATAACTTTTAATGTGTCTGGACAGTATCTGGACTACGTTCCCGTCGTACTGCGTCACCCGTGATACGTAATACGTATTGTGTGCTTTTGTCGTGTGTTAAAAATCACCACGTTTAATACAGAATGGGATCAGAAATGAAAACAATACACAGTTGGTAAAGTGAAAGAAAATACAGTACTAGTAGCATATCCGAAATAACCTAACAATATCAAACAAATATAATGACTATGTGTACACCAAAATACAGGCTGAGTCATTAAAGACAGTTGCTTCCATACCCAAGGAGTTGATCAAAGATACTGATTTTCCTACATGTATATACCAAAGGAATTTTTATAAAGTTTTGCCTTGACGTTCAAGACCTGGAGTCATCCAGGAGATTGAACATTTATTTGAAATATTTGATTAATTCTTAGGAACATTTTGGTCACATTTTGCCTAATAATATATTACTGTAGAATACTTTATTTTCGCTTGGAATTTATTTTCGCTGAAGGAATGATTCAGTGAAAATAAAATCCAGCGAATATATCTTTTTTCCTATAAATTACAATAAATTTGTCAAAAATCAGTGAAAATAAATTCCACACAAAACAATTAATTTTAGCTAAAAAAAAGTATTTTACAGTAATCGATAAAGCTTATATGTACAATTTATTGTGACTGGTCCTTGAAGCATCTAGAAAAAGAGTAGAATAAATTCATCTTGATTTTTATTCATGACATGTTTATCACTAATATTCTACAGTTGAAAATGTACTTGAACTAAACATAATTTGTTAGTATGGTAGTGTTGCCAGAGATTATCAATTTGGCTTTAATTATGCATCAGTGCAATTATTTTTCACACCTGTCTTAATTAGTTTTTAAAATAGTGTAATACTACAATATAGTTAATTATGAATGAGGTGTCAAGTAGATTTGGTTTGGATTCATAGTCATTTTTGAGTTTGAGTGGCTAAAAGAATTAACATCTTGTTTCCATAAACTTCATGTAATATGATTTACTATAACAATACCAATTATTCCATTGGGTCTTTAATCATTCTAATCTAGAATACTACATATGTTAGATTTTTGAAAAATGTGCTATTGGTTTATAATACTTAAAGCCTAAGCCAAATCTGAAAAAAATTTGAGGTCAACTTCAGCATCGTTGAAAATGTAGTGTATTTACTGAAAGCCAAATCCAAACCCAAACCCACTATTAAACATCTAAATGTTCTTTAGAAGTAATGCTGTGAAATTATGCAATATTCAGATCTGTTTTTGCCTTCGTCTCTCATCGTGTCCAACATAGCTCCCACGCGATGTATACTACAATGTATGTGTGTTAAGTTCAAGGCACGCTGCATGACTGTAGTGCTTCAAAAGGACTGTAAACTGTTAAATTTCTATGATAAAAATTGTCTCTATTCATGTTTAAATTTAAAAATGTTACCTTGACAGTATTCAAAATGTCTATTACACATGATTTAAAATGCATTTTTTTTCTGAGAATAATACATCTGGACCACCACTGTTTTCTTCCATGACAACTGACCTTGCTGGACAACAGGTTTGATTCTTCTCAATCACTGCTGGAATTATTTCAGCTTGTCTAGGGAGTCTCTACTAGAATCTTTTGAACTAGTCTAGGGAGTCTCTTAGAACCATCATGTAGTTCAGTGCACAACACAAGTTTTATGGGTAACTACCGTACTCGACCGCATTAGCGCCCAGGGGCCTCAACTCAGAAAATCACGATTTTGTAGGGGTGGGCGCTTACCCGAGCACCCCCCTCGAAAAAGAGTGCAAATGAAAATTTTTATTCATCAAGTGACAGATTACGTCTTTGAGGGAAAATCAAATTACTAAATTAGTTGCGTCGTCATTGATTTTCTCAATGAAGAAACAGAAATGATCACAAAAAATACGCACATTTTATTACAATATTAATTACGTACCACCATAATTTACGGAATTAAAAACATTTGAGTCTATTGGAACACAGTCGAAGTCAAAATTGTCATATTATTTCCACTGACGAAGTTGTTGGATCGTACGCAAACTCTCGATGAAAATCACTTTCCGCCATGATGCAATTGCAGATTTGACCTACAGCAGCGTCCTTTGACCTAATCAGAATGCTGTGTTGTACTGACCCAATTCTTCGGAAATTCCCGAAGACTTTCCGGTAACGCAATGCGGAAGTGAATAATCGATGTCGAAGTACGATCTGTTGGAATTGATTTCAGCGAATAAACAACATGGTTTTTCCAAAAAAACTAGTAACTAGCCATTTTTGAGAGGTAAACTGAATATGGCATGAAATATTTATCGCATTTTATTTTTACTTGTATTAACAGGTCATTGTCGAAGTGTAGTTTATGCACAGTTAGCGTGTTCTACGCATTCACAACATGTTCACAGCGGTAGATATCCACGCTGTATCATATAAAAACGATTACCAAGATTCGTTACGCAAGACCACGGTTACTAAAAAAGAAGTCTTTTTTAGTAACCGTGGCAAGACCAAGTTTTAAATTAGTTGCATTTTGAAGGGGTGGGCGCTTTGCCGAATGTGACCCCAAATATAAAAATTGCGCAAAAGTGGGGGGTAGGCGCTTGCCCGGGCATGGGCGCTAACGCGGTCGAGTACGGTATATATTTAACTTGACATGCAAGTAAAAACAATTAGTTCACCTTTTTTTCTGGAGTTAACTTGTAGAAAAGTTTTAAAATGTTTATTATTTTACATTTTATACTTTAATACTGGAAATTGACTACTGTAAAATACTTTATTTTAGCTGGAATTAATTTTCGCTTTTTGGGTGTTTTGTACAGAATTTATTTTCACTGATTTTTGATGAGTTGCATGTAAAATATAGGGGGAAAAAATATATTCACTGGATTTTATTTTCACTGAGCATTCCTTCAGCGAAAATAGCAAGAATAAATTCCAGGTGAAAATAAAGTATTCTACAGTACTTCTTCGGTTGGCATATGCACATGTACATTTTATTTGTCATAAATTACACATAAACCATGAGCTATCTCAGCCGAGAGGCTGCTACATGTAGTAATATTCAATATGCCATACATGTACTACACATACTTGTAAAAAATACATGTGAGTGACATTACTATAGTAAAATGTATGTATGTGCTTGAGTAATGGTCATTCATATTTTTTTGAGCAAATACATATGTATGTTCCAACTTTATTGCCAAATAAAATAGACTGACAAGATACAATGCGAAGGCCTGTGTTTTGAGGGTATGATTTTAATAGTTGATGTATGCATATGGGCTAAATCTGTTTTTTCAACAATGATAAATCATTTATTTGGAACATGTTATAATTTGTACAAAATAATACTTACATTATGTATACTACAGGTACCACACAAAAATAAGCACTTGAAATGTAGATAAAGAGATGAAACATGACAATTTTTCCCACTGAGAGGTTGAACATTGCACAATGTAATGTAGATTAGTGCAATAGTTATTTAACAAATCTTTTACAAAATCATTTTAAAATGAATGTGTGGTATTTTTTCTTAAAAAATTGTATCCAAGAGCTTCAAAACACAAAACACAATTCACAGAATAATTTAAAGTATTCTATAATTGACTATCGAAATCAACATGTGTTACACCAGTTTTTATAATCGCAACAGATTTATTCACTCGTTAAAAATAAAGCTAATTATGACAGTTGGTTTTATTCCAAGAAACCGTAGTGTGAATAGTAGTCCCAGTTTTTATGCTTATTAAATATTGTTTGTGTGTTTTGGGTTGTGCATGGTACAGGCAGCAGGTACGAATGCCACTAAAATTGAGAAATATAGATATAATGCTGTTGGGTTTTTTTTTTCTTGCTTTTATACAAAATAACATAAAAAATCAGGTAATAGAATAGTCATATTTTTGAAGGTTTAAAACATATCGCTGTTCATACATGTAATTGATTATTCAGTCGTGATTGATCCATTTTTTTGGTGTCAGCTGTTAGCTCTCATGTTATTTCAGTTTATGAATATTACCTATTAATAACCATATGTCATACATGTTTCATACGGTCATGAAGATACTATCTATTTTGTTCGTTAGTTCATTCATTCATTCATTCATCCATCACTTGGTTCGTTCATATGTTTACTAAATGTATTATAAACCTTTATTTGGCTTATAATCAATTTACTTATTTTCGCTAAATACGCAAATTTAAAAATCACGAAAAATAAAGATACAGTTTAAATTATTTGTTCTTATGGGAACTACAGTTAAAACCACAAGTCTAGAAAATAGGATAATATTGACCTTAATATGAAGTGAATTTCGCTATTAAAATGACCTTCACATGGATATTTTCAATCGAACTCATTGTTCTTGAACAAATTTTGAATTTTAAACCCAGTGAAAAAGTACTGATGTCAATTACCAAAAAATATTATTACCTGCTTGAAAGCACCACAGATAGCAGAAATGAATGGGGTAAAAACTGTCAGCTAGCAATGTGCACTTCTTCATACCGAGCACATTTCTAAATTAAAATTTGTAAATCTCTTTATCAATTTATATAGCATGTGTCTATATTTTATTCAAAATGTCCCATCTCGTAGACAAACTTGAAATAACACGTGGATTATATGTTGCTAAACTGCATGTGTTTTGAAAGTGAGATTTTATGATAAATGTGTTCTCAACTTTCGTCTTTTTCTTTCAGATCTTGAAGTATGGGTGCCAATAGCAGCAGCATAAGTGAGCTCTCAAAAAATGAACATTTGAAAAGACTTGCTGGCAAAGATGTTCTTTCCGAAAATGATCCTTTTTGGAATCAGCTTTTGTCTTTTTCATTCTGTCCACCACAGACCAGTGCTGATAATCGACTGTTGATGGAACAAATCAGCCCAATATGTAAAGTATTTGGTAAGTCAAGTAGATTTTAGCTGGTACGGGTAAATAAAGAAATTGGCTGCCCTATGGACTTGTAAATAAAGATATCAGGTTTTTACTATTTGACCAATGCAAAACATAAAAGATGCTAACGCTGTACGCATGAAATTAATATGGTGAACTAAAAATGGAAATTATATTTCATTTATTTCCCAACATGGACAAGCAATTTTACCAATTTTTTGAGCCACTTCCTTTGAGATAATATATATATATATTAGTGTCTAATAAATCCCTCTCCTGTCAAGGTGGTCTTGTGTTGATATAGTAATATAATATAGTCTCACTCAAGTGATAAAGAGGCCCTCTAGTGCTGAAAAAGTGCTCTAGTGTTAAAGAAGCCCTCTAGTGTCATAGTCCCTTCAGGTCTCATACCACTAATTAGAACTCCGAAGATGACAATGTTAGCGTTTGGGTAAATTTCTTCAAGGAAAAGGGTTACAAAGATCAAAATATTGTTTTAATTTGTTGAAACCACATGTATGTGTATGTGAAATCTGTCCAGTAAAACACATGTTGGCCAGCTCAAACTTCTACAAAAATGTAAACAAAACACAAAGATTTGTCAGTCTTTCTGCATTCAATATTCTCAGAAACGCAGCCAGTTTGGAAGTGTCTAATTGAGAGTTGCCCAGATCCACAGGTCATCGGTACTTGTCAATAAACAAAGCTGCACACGCAAGTCTAACAGCTGACGTAATTGTATCGTATAATACCTCATATAAGCGCCACCCTAGATTAGGTGCCAGTACAATAGAAAAGGTGATAATTTTCACACCAATTAGGTGCCAGTCAAAGTTGAATGTTTGTGTAAAACCATGAATTCCCCATCTGGCCGATGTCCGCCTAACACTTGAGCTAATCTTTTTTTTTCCACAACACATGCACAAAACTAACAATACACCGTACAATCTCTTGAATAGGCGTCAGAGAAGAGTGAAATGCCTTACTTTGGTTCTAAAATAGGCGTTACGAAATGGTCCTTCCAAAAAAAAACTGTTCACATGATAAAAAAAATACTCAGTATATTTAATGTAATATGCATTTATTTTTTTAATTTTCTTGGTAACGAATAGTATATTCTAATAGAAGTTTCAAATAAAAACAAACATGAATGCACTGCTTAGTAGCAAATGATCACGGTACGGTAGCGCAATCCAGCCATGCTGCGGTTCACAAGTGAATAACTTACTTGTTTTCAAAGTGTTGAAATTGGTGATTATTATTCAGTGGTGATTATAGTAACGCACAAAAAATAAATTCGTTGAAATTTTATGAAATGAAGGTAAAATTCAACTTAGTTTCACCATAAGCGAATGATTTCAGTCACATGTAAACGGCCGATACCATATCCGCCATGTCTTTGAATGCACACGAGACTTGTTTATTAACCAGATAGGTCAAGTCGCTAATTAACCAATCAAAATGCTGGATGGTGCCCACGTGTCTGAATTACCACAGCTCATTTAATATGTTATGACAGTTCAGCGACCTCATGGTAAACGCAACGTGGAAGAGATTTACCGATAATGTAGTGCGATCTTTTGGCTTCGATTTCCATGGGAAAACTGCATGATTTTTTTTTAAATCAAGAAATTATTTGTTTTGGAAAGATAAACTGAGCATTTGAAGAATAATTTAACATTGTTTACAGTGATAACAGCTCATTGTCGAAACGAAGCTTACCCATTCACGTTAGTCACGATAAAAATCATTCTCTTGAATAGGTGTCCAGAATTATTTAAATGTCTGTAAATAGAAGCCGAAATATTTTAAAAAAAAACGCGATTTCTTGGTCTCATTATATTTTAAAAACCAAACTGCCATTTAACGGCCAGAGGCGAATTTACGGCAGAATCCGGCACATTGTATAGACAGGATTCCTCTGATTGTAAGGTAACGTTACCGTAGTTCTGAGTGTGTGAAAAAATTACTGACCTCAATTAAGCGCCATTTGCAACAAAGTGGCCAAAATGTGACCTCAAATTAGCGCCAGACAGAAATGAAAATGTATCAAAGTGGCGCTTATATGAGGTATTTTACGGTAATACACTCTTATACATCGCGTTTAAGATAAAACAAGGTGGCATGAGACCTTTAGTCATAAAAAGGCCCTCCAGTGTTATAGAAAAACTCTTTAATCGAAAAAAAAAAAAACGTCTCGTGTCGTAGTCCTTTAGTGATAAAGAGTCCCTCTAGTGTTGTAGAAGCTCTCAAGTGACATACTGGTAGTCCCTGATAAAGAGGCCCTCTAGTGTTGAAGAGTCCTACTACGGATGACCAAGCCCTCTAGTGTCAGAGGCAGAATAGTTATCGATTTTTCTATTTTCTTTATCTTCAGCTGAGAACAACTTACAAACAGGTAACTTTTGTGCTTTAGTGAATGTCTTTTTGATGCGATGTGTTGAACTCAAGGCATCCACCCAGTGTGAAAAGTAAGTACAACATGTCTCATCAATATCTCTTTTCTGGTTTTAGTTGTTCTATTTGTGTCATGCCAGTAGTTGTCTGATTAGGGTGAGAGTAACACAGGAATTGTCTATGCAGCGTAGACTTTGATATGTTGGTGGCAACTCTAATTATTTTAATGATATCAAACTTCATTATGCTGCTTATTCAGAATTAAAATGTATGAATGAAAACATGTATAAATCATGTCAAACAATTTCTTTGTTATTGTCAGTCATGTAGACAAATGTATAAGCACATGTTTGAGAATGCTCAGCTCTTGAGAATGGTTGAAATTACTATGTGGTTCAGGCTTTCATAAAATTACCAAATTATGAGGGCAGAGGTGCTTGAAAAACATGCTCACACCAAGAATTATTAGGGAATTTCCAGAAATGAGAATGTATCATATAGTAGTGCATTCTAGATAAGACTGATTATATCTCTGTTTTAACTGTTATATAGATTGCATGCAATGCATTGTATATATAAATAAATAGTTTAAATTTATTTATAGTTTATTTGTAGTTTGGTGCACTGCTGGGTTGAAGGTATGTTACTTATATTTGGCCTATTTTGGTTTGTTGGTGATGGTTTTATGATCTGAAAATACCAACAGTGTATATATGTATACTTGGTTACGTCTACACCAGTAAACACCTACACACTGGCAGCTTATAGGATTCCTGTGTTCCTGGCTTTATGATCTACCGTACTTATCTGAATTAAAAACATAAATGAATATTCTGTGAAGCCAAGATTTAATTTAAAATTTGTGTCTATCCCAAATTTTATTCGCTAAATGACTTGGGTGTTAATTTACAAGACATGGTTTTGATTCTTTAACTGTGTTCTCTTTTTGCTGGTATATGATAGGCAGAAAAAATTAAATATAAATGAGCCAGCTATTATTTTGTTAAGTTAGCCCATTTTTATTTCCAAGGACGTGAAGACTAGAAAAGATTATTGAACGCAATATGCAAATCGTTTTATACTATACCCATAATCTTTTGCTGGAGAATCAAGATGGTATACGTAATATTGATGAAATGAACGTCTAGAGAAAAGCTATATAAAAATATATTTACCGGTAATAATGTAATTTTCATTCTCCTGCATTTGATGAGCTTTTTCATCTCTGTGTGTTAGCCTTCTTTGTAATCCTTTGTATCTTTACACATCCTGGTAATTTCTTATGTCACACATTCATTAATAATGAGAATGCCCCGTCCTTTTGTAACCAATATTTCTGTTATCAATTATTAAACAGATTAAGCTAATTTAGCTGTCATTATTCTTACAAGTGGCTTGCCATATTTTGGCATTTTAAATGTCAAAGTTAGTATCTCGCCACCCATTGAGACCAATAAGTCAAAACATATCGGGAGTTATAGCTGTCAGTGTGTTAGTCTGGTCTAGGAGTAACTCTTTGACCACAAGTGCACCGAATAACACGTCTCTGTCTCTGTCTATTCACATGCAGCGTTGGAAGTCAAACAAAAAAGAATGTCTTTTTCTCCTTCAGTGACATCTTCACGTGGCAGACACACAATGCACTGTTCATCATACGATGTCTGATAAGTTATTTTATTGAAAACATGTCAGAGGGTGGTTTATTACGAGAGTTTGCTGTCAAGGACATACAACAAGGCAACCAGACTGGAGAGCCTCTGCTAGAGAAGTTTATCGATGCTCTGATTCACTTACTCATTGAAGTTCCGGTAGTGTAAGTAAAATTATCATTCAAAATAACATTTCCTGTGTCTGTTGACATGCATTATGCTAATGCCTAATCAAAAAGAATTACTTTCTTTTATTAGATTGCTATATAGAAATTAGTTTTGTCTTGAGATTGATCATTTTCTTTTTTTGTGAAGTTATGTGTGCAAGTAATTCCTGTATTCTTTTTAATCTTGACCAATTTTCTCAAAGTTCAGTGTTGGAATAAAAATGAACTATTATGTTAATAGTGCCATTTTTATTAGCTCCTCTGTCGACTTTGTCGAGCGGAGCTTATCATATGAGTGATTGTCCATCGTCGTCCGTGTCAATGTTTTACTTTTTCGACTTCTTTTTGAAAACTACAAGCCTGAATGCTTTGATACTTGGTGTATATGTACCTTGGGTAGATCTCTCTCAGATTTGTTCATTTCATGATGATATCTTAAATTCTCTAATTTTGGTGAATATTTTTGTCATTTTTGGTAAAAAGTGATATTTTCAACTTCTTGTTGAAAACCGCAAGTCCAATTGCTTTGATATATTATACATATAGGTACTACATGTGGACCTCTCTCAGATTTGTTCATTTTCTAATGATATCTTCTGTTCTTTAATTGCCATGTGCATTGCTAACAGCGGAGCTATCTCAGCCGACAGGCTGCTTGTATTATTTACAAAATGAACAAATTTGAATTCCTTCACTTACCAATATATACACACATATATTTAGTGTTGTCTTTTTCAAAACAAACATTAGACAAATTTTGTTTGGTGCAATTTTTCACTCATTTAAAATCCTTGCATATGATGCTAGAAGCATGTATTACGTCACATTTTAGGATTTATCATTATTTCTTTCATTACAGTAACTTCACATACGTGATCCATTTAGAAGCTACCAATTTATTGCTGACATTGTTATCAGTTCAGCTGTTCATACCCAGGATAGCTCATAAATCTATCTTTTTTCAATACCTCATGCAGGGAAAATGGTGAGTAAAAATATCAATCACTATGCTATGCTGTAGTGAAGGGTTAATATTTATTGTTTTGTAACACACCGTGCAAAGTTGTTCAAAGTGATTGCAAAGTTGGTAGATGTATTTGTATATATGACCTAAGTTGTTGGCATATAAAAACGCGAAGTTGTAAACTTGACAAATTTAATGAAAGCCAGTTGAAAGCATATGATATTATACTGAAACTCGATCTTTGATATTTGAATGATTTATTTAGCTGGTATTTATCGGATTGAAAATATATTAACCACTCATACTATCATGTCCTGTCAAAAGACAGGCCAGTTTACTGACTCGGAAATGAGAGAAAGCACACTCCTACATGTACTGAGAAGAATACGTCAATTGTCCCATGCACAGGAACAACTGGATCTTTTACATACACTGATGATAGGAACAGTACACAGGACCGACAAACATTTCTTTGCAGAATTAACACAGAGGGCGCTGTTCCTAAACATGACATCAGTGAACAAAGTACTGTTTTTGCTCAACAGTGTGAACACAACACTACTATGCTTGTGTTTGAGTTTAGAGTAGCTCACTGAGTCAGTCTTATGCTGATAGTTTGCTATTTAACTATGACATCATTTTGGGACACAGCGCCCCCAAGAGTTGCCATATGGCCATCAATCAGACATTGCCAATCTGAATGCACTGTTTTCTATCTGTTCAGTCACAACTATGCTGACAAATAATGCCCTATAAACAGGTTTGTTGAACAAAGCAAATCAAAAACAAAAATTCTGTTTCTTTCCTCAGCTCAAAAGATGCCTGTCCATTGGTGAAAACGTTATTAGATCACATTATTAAACACGAACCATGTCCGCCAGAAGCTCTTGGTGGATCCCACGCTGGTAGTATGTTGTATGGTTTTGGTGCTGCTGTAGCATGTAAGTACAGAAATTCTGCTTTGTTTTCTAGACTGAATATCGCCCCTGCATTCAATTTGTTGTGTAGTGAATCATATCAGCACCGAATGTTTCAAACATTGTTCAGTTTATAAAGGTGAGTGTGTGGAGGACCTCTGTGTAAGCATATCTATAGAGAAAGGTTGAAAAGGTTTTAAGTTTAGACATTGTTCAGTTTATAGATGTGAGTGTGTTGAGGACCTCTGTAAGCATATCTATAGAGAAAGGTTGGAAAAGGTTTTCAGTTTAGACATTGTTCAGTTTATAGAGGTGAGTGTGTTGAGGACCTCTGTAAGCATATCTATAGAGAAAGGTTGGAAAAGGTTTTCAGTTTAGACATTGTTCAGTTTATAGAGGTGAGTGTGTGGAGGACCTCTGTAAGCATATATATGGGGAGGGTTGGAAAAGGTTTTAAGTTTAGACATTGTTCAGTTTATAGAGGTGAGTGTGTGGACGACCTCTGTGTAAGCATATCTATGGGGAAGGGTTGGAAAAGGTTTTAAGTTTAGACATTGTTCAGTTTATAGAGGTGAGTGTGTGGAGGACTACTGTATAAGCATATCTATGGGGAAGGGTTGGAAAAGGTTTTAAGTTTAACATTGTTCAGTTTATAGAGGTGAGTGTGTGGACGACCTCTGTGTATGCATATCTATGGGGAAGGGTTGGAAAAGGTTTTCAGTTTAGACATTGTTCAGTTTATAGAGGTGAGTGTGTTGATGACCTCTGTGTATGCATATGTATGGGGAAAGGGTTGGAA